TGCTCGGGGCCCACACCGACAGCCCCTGCCTGCGGGTGAGAGCCACCGCCGGGCTCCGTGCCCGGGCTCCGTGCCCTGCCGGCGGCACCGACGCCTCTGCTCTCGCCCAGGTGAAGCGCCGCTCCAAGCGCGGGCAGGTGGGCACCGTGCAGGTTGGCGTGGAGACCTACGGCGGCGGCATCTGGAACACCTGGTTTGACCGCGATCTCACCGTGGCCGGGAGGGTGATCGTAAAGGTGGGTCTGCGCGGGCTGGGCGAGCGGCGCTGTAGCAGCTCGTGCCCGTTGAGCTGTGCGCTGGGCAGGGAGTTAGTGCTAGAGCTCTTGCTCTGTGTCCTGTACTCTGTGCTTGGGCTGGGCTGTGGCCCTGGGTCTTTAGAGACGGTTTTTGCCGGCAGATTGCCAGAACCTCCCCATYGCCCTGCCAGGTCTGTCTGCAGCCATCCCTCCTGCCAGTCACTGTGCCCATCACCCTTGAGTGCCTGTTGTTAAAACTGCAGTCTTTGGGTGTCTGTTTGGGGCGGTCCCATCCTTGTCCTGACCCATGCACAGCACAGCCCACACTCCAGTCCACCTCCAGCTGAGGTGAACCCCTCACTCAGCACCAAGGGGATGCTGRGGAGCAGGGACCAGACCCGGGATCAGACCCATTATGCCCCTTCCCACCTTCCATGCCTGTGACAGGGGCACGGGAGCAGCCCTGCCGCGGGGTGGACACAGTGTGGACACTGCGGGCACCTCCGTGTCCTGCGGACGTGTCCCAGCCGGCCTGCTCAGGAACCCTGAACCCTGCTTGCCTTTCAGGACCCAACCACGGGCCGCCTGCAGCAGCACCTGGTCTACGTGGAGCGGCCCATCCTCCGCATCCCCCACCTGGCCATTCACCTGCAGCGCAGCATCAACGAGAGCTTCGGGCCCAACACCGAGCACCACCTGTAAGGCCGGGCTTCACCCGCTGCCCTGGGCAGCCCTGCGCAGGGCTRGCACCCAGCTGGAGCCATGCCCAGCTTCAGCTCTGCCGTGAGCCCATCTGCAGTGGCTTTTCTCAATCCACTAGTGTCCCTGGGACACATTGCCAAGATTGGGGCCTGGGGAAGATACTGAGGCGCCCTGAGGTGGCTTGCAAGGGATTTATGCTTTGAGGGGGTTGTGTCCTTGCCACGTTCAGCGTGGTGGTCGTTCCCTGGGGACGCCCCAGGTGGGCTTTGTGTGTGACTTGTGTGGGAGAGGTGGCATTGCCCTGGGGCTAACGGTCCTGTCTCCCCACAGCGTTCCCATTCTGGCCACTGCTGTGCAGGAGGAGCTCGAGAAGGAGGTGCTGGTGGAGGCTGATGCCACAGCCCAGGTGAGTTGGGCAACGAGGAGCTGGCAACTGTCACTGAGACCTCACACCTCCCACCCTCTCATCTCTGGTCCTCAGGGCTTCCTGTCAGCAGATTGCCTGTTTCCCCATTCCTTGTGGATGGCCCTGTATTCCACCTCACAGCCACATACATTTCAGACATGTCCGGCCACCCTTCTATTCCCATCCCATCCAGCAGAAAGGTTCACAGTCCCCATGAAATCCTCACCGATGGCTCCCCCTTTCTTTTTGGGGAGGCAGGGCAGTGAGGGGAGACCTGTGCAGTGGGCAGAGAAGGCARTGCTGTCCTGGGTAGGGAGAGGGGGCTGCGCCAGCGTGGGAGAGGCACAGGACTGCTCTGCAGGGTGGAACGGAAGGTTTTGCCCTGTGCWGTGTGTCCCCAGCTCTGCTTTCTTCCCAGACAGAGCGGCACAGCCCTGTGCTGCTCTCCCTGCTCTGCTCTCAGCTGAGGGTGAAGCCGGAGCAGATCGTGGAGCTGGAGCTGTGCCTGGCGGATACGCAGCCAGCGGTGAGTGGGAGTCCCTCGCTGCCTGCACATAGCGTGCTTGCAGGCTGGCCCACACAGGCCCTGTGCCCAGGACACAGCGGGTACCAGGGCTGGGAACTGAGGGGACTGAGGAAATACAGCCCCGGAGAGGGCAGGAGCGAGGGGAGCAGCACGAGGCCCCAGCGCCGGGTGCCTTTAGTAACGCAGCGTCAGTGCCCTGCTGCTCATTGCTCTCTGCCTGCAGACGCTGGGTGGTGCCTTTGATGAGTTCATCTTCTCCCCACGCCTGGACAATCTGCACAGCTGCTACTGTGCYCTGCAGGTGAGCGGGAGGTGGAGGAGAGCCTCGGGGCCCCCGCATGGCCCTCGCGTGCCCTGGCTGCCCCCGGCATGGCCAGGAGTTCCCCGAGGCTCTGTGGGGTGACATGTTCCTGTGAGGTGGATCTGCTTGTCAGAGGATGAGGGTTTGGGTGGGTGCTGCCCCCATACTGGGTGTGTGGGAGTCCCAGCAGCTCCTGGGGGTGACTCTTGCTCTTGCTGTTGTCTGCCTGCTCTCTGATGGTGCCTTGGGCTGTCCTGGGGGAAAGCCCCACGTGTGTAGTTGCTGTGTGTGATCCCATCCTTCCTGGGAGGGATGGCAGCTCGGGCTGACGCCCCATTTCCTCCTCTGCCCCTGCAGGCCCTGATCGACTCGTGCATGGCCCCCTCCTCCCTCGCCCAGGAGCCCAATGTCCGTCTCATCGCGCTCTATGACAACGAGGAGGTGAGCGAGGGGCACCCAGCTGGCAGGGGAGGGCGCCCGTGGGAGGGCAGCGTGTAGGGAAAGAGGGACACCAGCCCCGCCAGGGCAGGATGGGATTCGCTCAGCCCAGTGTGGAGCGTGGGCTGGTGTTGAGGGGAGGCTCCGCTCCGTTGGGAGGCTACTGTAAYGGCCGGTACAGGGCTGCGTGGCGGCGGCAGCCCTGTGCAGGCCGTGCCCACGGTGCTCCCCGACAGGTCGGGTCGGAGAGCGCGCAGGGCGCGGAGTCCCTGCTCACGGAGCTCGTGCTGCGCCGCATCTCGGCGACGCCGCACAACCTGACGGCCTTCGAGGAGGCCATGGCCAAGTCCTACATGATCAGCGCTGACATGGCCCACGCCGTGCACCCCAACTATGTGTGAGTGATACGAGTGCCCCCCCGAGCTGGGCACGCTCGCCCTGCCGCCCACAGGGCTGTATCGCTGTCGCTGCCCAAGGGGCAGAGTCTTTGCTGTGGTGGGGACTCTGAGAGGGCCTTGGCCTCAAACTCCTCTTTCTCTTTTGCAGAGACAAACACGAGGAGAATCATCGTCCGGCCTTCCACAAGGTGAGGGCAGCCGGCTGCTYTGTGCCAGGCCGGGCACCCCGTCTGTCCCGCAGCAGGGGGAAGTGCCCGGTTCTGTGCACAGTCCTGGGGCTTGATTCAGTGGCACTTGAGCAGGACRTGTTTGTCCTGGAGTCCTTCCTTGAGCTTGCCCTAGCTTGGGCCTGRCTTATCCCCAAGAGAGACCTGTCTCTTGCAGCACCCGCATTCCCACGGGTCTCCCAGGGAAGAGAGACCGAACTGGTGGGTTGGGGTGGGATGACATTTCTGCCAGAATTGCTGTGGSCCCCCTTGTTGTCACTGGCACTGCCAGGCCCTCGTTGTGCCCYCCAGCCCGGGGCCGGGTCCCACAGTGTCTCCCTCGCGCAGGGCCCCGTGATCAAAGTGAACAGCAACCAGCGCTACGCCTCCACCGCCGTCACCGAGGCCGTGATCCGGGACATCGCCGCCCGCGTGGGAGTTCCGCTGCAGGTGAGCGGGCAGCAGCGCGCCCTGCGTGGGGACGCGCCACCAGCTCGCACCGTACCCGTGCAGAGGTGCCTGTGCCCTCTGCGGGTAAGGGAGGCTCCTGCCCTGGAGGCTCCTGCTCCAGGGATTTTGGAGAGCAGGCCCAGGAACAGAAGGGAGGACAGTGTCACATCCCTGGGGCAAGGGGTCTTCCCTGTCCCAACTCCTGTCCCTTCAGCTGCTCTGGGAGCACCCCGGCCTGGCCGTGCCGTGCCTGGGAGCCGCTCCAAGCTGCAGCTGATGCCGTGTGCCCCCGCGTGCAGGAGTTCATGGTGCGGAACGACACGCCGTGCGGCACCACCATCGGCCCCATCCTGGCGTCCCGCCTGGGGCTGCGCGTGCTGGACGTGGGCTGCCCGCAGCTGGCCATGCACTCCATCCGCGAGATGTGCTGCACGTCGGGCGTGCTGCAGAGCATCGCCCTCTTCAAGGTGAGCGCGGCCCCGGTGCTGCCGCGCGGCCCTGGCCGGCCGTGACCTGCAGCCCCCTTGCTGGGGAGAGCCCCTGCCCCAGCGACCGCCCTGGGCTCTTTGTGGCGGGGGGACAAGTGCCACCTGCGTCTAGCTGTGCCCGTCACATCCCTGCTGCGTATCCCGGACTTCCCTGTGCCTCCCTSCCCAGCCGGTTCCTATGGCAACTGGCGCCAGCCTGGACTCGGTGCTGGTTTCCATGGCGATGCAGCGCTGCTCGGGAGCTGCTGCCGTGACGCGGTGCACRGCCCCGCGGGGACCCGGCGCCCACCCTGCTGCCCCCTCTCGTTTCAGGGCTTCTTCGAGCTCCTGCCCGAGGTCAGCAGCAACCTGGTGGTCGACTGAGCGCGGCGGGGGCCAGCGGCCCCGGGGCCGGCCCTGCGCGCGGAGCCATTAAAGCATCTGAGTCTGGGCAGCGCCTGGCTCCGTGCGTGCGGCAGTGGCGGGAGGGACAGACCCCGGCGGGGCCCTGCTGGGGCCGCCGGCACCACCGAGCTGCCCCCGGCACCTTCCTCACCGCGGGGATGGGCAGGGGSCTGGAGCCATTGCCCCAGCACTGAGCCGGTCGCGGGGCACCTGCGGGCTCCTGGGGGGCAGCGTGGGCTCTCGGGCAGGGAGGAAAGGGGCGCGTTCCGTGGGGCTGGGGGACACAGGGCCCCGGGGCTGCCCCGCGCGGCTCCCTGCCCTGGGCCGGGGACASGGGCGGTCCCGGCCCCGCCGCCCCGGGGCTCCCGCCCCGCGCTGCCCCTCGTCATCTGCCGCCTCCGCGGGTGTGTCCCGCTGCTCGTGGCTGATTGGCGGTGGCGGAGGGGAGTGTCCCGCAATTGACCAATGCGGCCTCAGGGCCGCCCCGCGGCTGGAGGTGATTGGTGCAGCCCCGGCGGGCGCGGGGACACACCCCGGCGCGGGGCGTGGCTCGCCCTCCAGCGGCGCTGCGATTGGCCCGGCGGCCGAGCGTTCCTCGCGGCGCGCGCCGCCATTGGCCGCTCCATGCCCAAGCGA